AATTCATTGGACCTAGGCTGCCAACATGCATCCCTACATACATGATGCATCGAGCAAACTAAATCCAGGCTATTTGTCATTGGCAAGAGTATTGAACCCGAGATATCATTCAGTCCGACAGGAAGGTAGCTTCTATCCACTGAGCAACAACTAGCTAGGACCTGAGGATATGGGGAGGAAAGAATGAGAAGAGAGAGGGAGGAGAGAGAGACATCGATGTGACAGATATTTGTCTCCCATCTGCCCCTGGACCGGAGGTCAAACCCAAAACCTTTGGGTGTAGGAGACCACTCTCCAACCAACTGAACCAGCGGCCAGGGCACTATCATAAGCTTTAAAGCAGCAGGGCCGGCCCAGTACAAATTGAAGATGGTCCTACAGCTGCAAGTCTTGGTAAGAGAGTATATGGAATTTGGTTTTTCAGAGCTTTGGACCTCGGAGCTCTCCTAGTCTAAACTCTGCATCTTATAAGGAAGCTGAGGTCCATAGAAAAGTAATTTACCTCAAGTCATAGCGCAAGTTAATATCAAAAGTGGGATTCAAACTCATGTGTCTAAATTCCAGTGCTTTTTCCGTGATTTCACATTCCCTCCTGATTTTACTCTTTAGCAATCAATGTCTACGCACTGGGCTTGTAGGACAGAGGACGAACTTTCAGTCGTTGCCCTTCTAGATGTTCAGTTCTAAAAGCTCTCAGGTCACAGATAAAAGATCTTATGGGGAAACGGTTTTAAGCGGACTATGCATCGCTGCAGAACCTGCATTACAGTGTTCTTGAAACTTCCCAGGTGTCAAGTGGGAAGAACAACTTCGTATTGCCTACCTCACAGGTGGTCCTAAGGCCCAATGAAATAATGAACACGGACAGTGCTGCGCAAACCTTCCCGCGAGGGGAGATTACGGGCACGCAAGCTGCAGCTGAACGAGCCTTTGGTCTCAGAGTTCGAGACCAGACCCGCAGCGACAATCCGGTTTTCCTGTGTGTAAGACGGAGACAAGAACACGGCTACCCCACACTAAGTGGTGGTGGGGTCCGAGTCGTAAGACGCAGGACCAACAGTGAAGGAACATGGTTACTGCCGATCCCGGACGCGCCTCCTCACCTTCTGTACTTGCTCTGCGAGCGCCACGAGGTCTAAGGGGTCCCCGGCCCGGTGGGTGTGGTAGGGGCTCACCAGGGCCAGGCCGCCGGGGTTCGGGGTGAGCTCCACCAGGGCTCCTGCGACACACACCCGGGAACACAGGCCGTGAGCGCCCGCCCTCGGCCTCCCGCGGAGCCCGGCAGACCAGCTGCCCCGTGAGGGCCTCTCTGCCCCTTCTGACTCCCGCCCCGCATACCTCCCCGATCTGTCGCCGAACGAACTTGGCTTTCAGGGACTCCCTCAGTCCGCCCGGGCGTCGCTGCGTCCTCCATGACAGCAGCTAACCTTCCCCACCTCCGCTGGCCCGCGGCGGAAGAGTATGCGCACAAAAGCCCGTGGGCGGAGCTTCCGTGGTCCCTGGCCAATGGTGTCCGAGATGCGGAGCTCGGAGGCGGGACTCCGAGTGACGCATAGGGTTCCTCTAAGGGGTGGAGCCCTGCAAGCCTTCGGTACTCGCAGCGCCCAGCCTGGGGGCGGGGCTTCAGTCGGGGGCGTGGCTTCAAGCAGGCAGGGCGGAGCTGCCTGGGGGTGGGACTCGGGTCTCCGTGGCGGGTGGCTAGCAATCTGGTTAGGTCTGAGGAGGTGATGGCGGCACGCGTGTGGAAGCTGCTGACCACACTGTGGGCCGTCGCCGCCGCTGCCTCCCGAGCCCATGCCGAATCCGAGGCAGAGTGGGACATGTTGGCGCCGGATCTGCTCTTTGCCGAGGGGACCGCGGCCTACGCGCGCGGGGATTGGCCCGGGGTGGTACTGAGCATGGAGCGGGCGCTGCGCTCGCGGGCCGCCCTGCGAGCCCTCCGCCTGCGCTGCCGCACCCGGTGTGCCGCCGACTTCCCGTGGGAGCTGGACACCGACTCGCCCCCGAGCCTGACGCAGGCCTCGGGCGCTGCCCTGCACGATCTGCGCTTCTTCGGGAGCCTGCTGCGCCGCGCTGCCTGTCTGCGCCGCTGCCTGGGACCGCCGGGCGCCCACTCGCTCAGCGAGGAGCTGGAGTTGGAGTTCCACAAGCGGAGCCCCTACAACTACCTGCAGGTCGCCTACTTCAAGGTGCAGACCTGTATGCTGGCTGGGGTCCTTCTGGGCGTAGTTGAAGGCGACCCGGGGGAACTTGGCGGGGGGCCCGGGAAGGATCCGCAGAGAGGGAAGGTGGTCTCGGCCCGGGAGCTCTCCTCAGACCCAGGGAGGGCGAGGACCCTGCTGGGAGACCTGCCTAGCCCGCTTCGCATAGTCAGATGGTAGCCCCAAAGGTCCAGCCTGAGGTTAGGGCACCCATCAACCGAAACGTGGCCCGTGTTTCCCCGACAGGCTTCCTAAAGGGAACCAAAGTGGCAGCTTGGGTTTCTCATCCTGATTTCATTGTAGTTGTCCGAGTGAGAAGCCCGGACCTTTCTACACGATCTTCCTTCCGGTTCGTTTTTCAGTGATGCTTTTCCTGCTGCCTGAGTGCCACAGCTTTCTCTCGAGACGTGAGGTTGCCACGTCGCCAGTAGGGGCTGTCTGGCCCCTCCCTGTGGGGGACCCTCTGGCGAGTCTGTCAGGTTTCCAAAGAAATGAGTAACTTTAGGAATTCCAGAGTGCCTTAAGTCCAAGTATACGTGGATTTGGAGCGCTCCTGGCCTGCCTGATGATGATGATGATGATGATGATGGTGAGGATGATAGCCAGCACATACTTTCAGCACTATTTTAAATACTTTGCGTTTATTAATTCATATGCCCAGATCCTGACAATATCCTGTAAGGTAGGTACTACTTATTAGCCTCATTTTATTGGGTGAAAAAAGAAGGAGCTGTGCTTTATATCTGTCATGTCCATGGTTTGATAGACTTTCAATTCAACCTGAAGAGAGACTTGGAAAACCTTTGGAACCTCAGATTTCCACCTTTCCACAAATATTTTGTGTACACAGTTCTCCATTCCCCTAATTACGCAGAAGAGTACTGGGTTTGAAACCAAAACAACTGGGCTATCTTTAGTCATGTCACTTAGCAGCACTTTTTAAAAGTCTTTGACAAACATTTATTGAATACCTACTACATTCCAGTTCTTGTGCAAGTAATTAAAATGCTAGACTTTATGGTTTTTTGTTTGTCTTGCTTTGCTGTTAAGAATCACTATAATGAGGGTTACTGAAATGATATGTACATTGGACTGTGGGAGCACAGAGGAGGGAGATCTATCTTTGTCTCAGAGAAATTAGAGAGACTTGATTAAAAGCCCTAGCTGGTGTGCTCGGTGGATAGAGCGTCAGCCTGCGGACTGAAAGGTCCCAGGTTTGATTCCAGTCAAGGGCATATGCCGGGGTTGCAGGCTCGATCCCCAGTAGGGGGCCTCCAGGAGGCAACCAATCAATGATTCTCTCTCATCATTGATGTTTCTGTCTCTCTCTCCCTCTCCCTTCCTCTCTGAAATCAATTTAAAAATATAGGAAAAAAAAAGAGATGACATTTGAAGCTGATTCTAGATATTGCTAGAGAGCACCCTGTTCCAGGTAGAGTGAGGCCAGACTGGGAAGAGAATTCTGTAGGCTTCAGGGAGCCATCATCAGAAGTGGGTTTTAGAATGCTGACCCTGGAAGCCATGTGAATAAGCCTTGGAAGGAGGAGGAAGTGGTGGCGGGGCGAACCATTAGGAGATGAGTGCAGTTGTTCACATGAGAGAAGGAAACTAAAGGCTTGGGGATGGAGTGAGGAGATGAGGGAGAACAGAGAAAGCAAGAGCAATGCTGAAAGATGGGAGGGAGAATAAATCCATAAAAGGAATGGACTTAAGAGAATTTATGATTTTATAATTAAGGGAACTGAGGAACAGAGATAGGGATTATTGACCTTGGGTCACCGCTATTTTAAGGTTACAGGCTCTATTTTAAATACTTTGCATTTTTTAATTCATTTGCCCATTAATCATTAAATCATCAATGATTTAGTTTGGATTCTACATATGAACCTGTGTAACTTTGATATGCTGGAGTCCATTGCTATGGACATTATTGTGGCCTGTAGCACATCCCTGCCCCCCCTCCCTTCAGATATTTGTATAACCTCATGAGTCCTGGATTTTGAGTCTGAAGATGCCATGCCTGGATGTTGTAGAGCAAGCATGTCAAACTCAAAGGCTAACGCGGGCCAAATAAACAAGGTTTAAGTTTAGGTGGGCCGCAAAAAAACAAAAGCTTCAATTTTCATAGAAACATAGGTTTATTTTGATAGAGACATGCTGAATATGAAGGGCTGAAATAAATGAGTAATCGTTAACATAAAATAATAGAACATTTTAATAAAAATTAATATTTTTTCTTGAACATTAACTTACCAGACACTGAATAACTGCACAAATTAATAAGCATAACACAAATAAACCTATTTTTCTTGTTCTCCAAAAGCGAAATATTTCCTGTTGCGCACCAAATAGGTCAGTACAAGACTAATGACATGAATATTGGCTGCTAAAATATTCGCTGCTAGTATTAGTGGAGAAAAATGGTGTGCCTGCACATAAGGTGCATAAGGGAAATGAATGCAACATGATTATAATTATCAGTCATTAGCAAACATTGTAGTTCGTTATTAATAACTAGAGGCCCGGTGCATGAAAATTTGTGTTCTTGGGGGGATCCCTCATCACAGCCTTTGCCCTCTCGCAGTCCAGGACCTCTTGGGGGATGTTCACCTGCCAGTTTAGGTCCGCTCCCTGGGGGATTGGGCCTAAGCCTCAGTCAGACATCCTTAGCACTGCGGAGGAGGCGGGAGAAGCTCCCACCACTGCCGCTGCGCTTGCAGCCGTCAGCCCGGCTTGTGGCTGAGCGGAGCTCCCCCTGTGGGAGTGCACTGACCACCAAAGGGCAGCTCCTGCGTTGAGTGTCTGCCTCCTGGTGGTCAGTGCACGTCATAGTGACTGGTTGTTCCTGGTCATCTGCTGTTAGGGTCAATTTGCATATTACCCTTTTATTATATAGGATTATATATAACAGGATATTGTAAAAATTAAGTTACAAAATTTTTATTAAAATGTTTCTTATAGCCCTGACTGGTTTGGCTCAGTGGATAGAGCGTTGGCCTGCGGACTTAAGGGTCCCGGGTTCGATTCCAGTCAAGGGCATGTACCTTGGTTGCAGGCACATCACCGGTAGGGAGTGTGCAGGAGGCAGCTGATCGATGCTTCTCTCTCATCGATGTTTCTAACTCTCTTTCCCTCTCCCTTCCTCTCTGTAAAAAATCAATAAAATATATATTTTTAAAAATGTTTCTTATATACCGTTATATTGGCTGCACAGCAAAAATATTTGTTGTGGGCTGCATGGGGCCCGCAGGCTACGAGTTTGACATGCTTGTTGTAGAGGACCTTAGTATTTTTCAGCCACCCACCTTTTCCTTGAATGTGTCATTTTATGCAAAAAAAAACACACTCTTTTTTGCCCTGGACATTTTGGCTCATGGGTGGATAGAGCGTTGGTCCTTGAACTGCAGGGTCCCGGAAACCCCGGGGTTTGATTCTGGTCAAGGGCACGTGCCTCAGTTGCAGGTTGCAGGCTGGATCCCTGGCTCCCCCGATCGGGGCGTGCTGGAGGCAACCAGTTGCGTGTGCCTCTCTCTCTCACATCGATGTTTCTCTGTCTCTCTCCCTCCCTTCTCTCTCTTAAAAAAAAAAGGAAAAATATCCTCAGGTGAGGATTAACAAACTAGACACTTTTTCTAAGCATATTCTTTCTTAGACATGGTCTGATTGTTCACTGCTCTTTCTCCTCTAACCTTAAATAAATTCTTAAAGCCTTGGATTTTCTTCAGCTCGGTCAGTACCTGTAAATCTTGAGGATACATTATTTGAGCAGTCAGTCTTCTATAGTGTTCCTTCTACAATATGACCTTCGTTTTAAAATAGAATGTTTACACTGTTGAAGCATTACCTCCTGTAATTTGGAGCGCCCCTAATCCTGATTTGGGGAATAACTGAAAATCTGCCCAGGGCCTTGTGCTTCTAATCTCTGGTATGAAGTTCCTGCCATAGGTGTTTTCTGGGGCGGACAGGGGCGGTGCACACTGAATGGAAAGCTCAGGAAGGCTGCGATTTCCTGTTTACTGTGGACGGCACATGTGGACACAGACCTTCAGGGTTTGGATGTGAGAATCGTGTTCTTGTGCTTCATTCTTAGATAAACAAGTTGGAGAAAGCCGTAGCAGCAGCGCACACCTTCTTCGTGGGCAATCCTGAGCACATGGAGATGCGTCAGAACCTAGACTATTACCAGACCATGTCTGGGGTGAAGGAGGCTGACTTCAAGGATCTTGAGGCCAAACCTCATATGGTGAAAAAGTTTATCTCCTTCTTT